GTATAAGTGGTACAAAAAAATATCACAAGGAGGTACATACCGACTCATCCTCATTAAGATCTTTATCTCCATATTATGGATCAGTCTTATCACCAACAGCGAGTGATGCAGCATGGACAGTTTGCAGATCCATATATATCAATAACCCAGTAAATGAAACTGTAGATTTATAAAATCGACCGATTCACCCAAAAAACAAAGAACACATGGCAGTTTCAAACTATATTGAAAAGTCGAAGTAATGCAGACAATAGAAAGATGAAACAAATCATAGATACAGATCTAGTATCCAAAATCGATTTAAAACTCGGCAATTTGGATGTATTTGAGATAACGAATAAGAGAGATTGACAAGAAATAAGAGGAGAAGCTTGGGAAAAGAGAAAGAAGTGAACATATGGATATGAAAAAAAAAAACAGATTTTATGATAACTAGATCTTTTTAATTCGGCGTGATAAAAAAAACAGAGATTTTAATCACATCCATGTAAAGTAGAAATTAAGTCATTAATAATAACAAAATGAACTAAAGATGATGAAAAATTTAATGCATATTTGAGACGTGTGATAGAGAGGAGATATAATACGATAGGCGAGTCAGGGTAATACAGGAAGAATTGATGGTGAAATATTCTTAAGTTGTAGCAATGAAATAGGTCTTGTTGGTTTTTTAATTATGTTCAACAGTATTGCTAGTGGATGCAAATACTCTTTAAATAAGTTCTCTTTGCATTTATGATTTATAATATATGCTGTTTATGATATTTTAACAAATATAATTTCTGAAACTCAGTTACACCGACATCTATGTATTTTTTCTTGTCGGTCATCATCATCTATCTTAATTTTCAATAAAATCGATACAGATCGTTAATTTTATAATGAATTTTGCGTGTCTATCAATGTGAATTGATTTTCGACAAAAAAAAAAAATCAATGTGAAATGATTTGTATTTGTAGTGGGGTTTTTTTAATCTAATATGACGAATTGTCAAAAGAAGACGAATACTGGATTTCTGATGTTTATTGGGCGTCACCAAACGGGGAAATGGGCGTCACCAAAAGACAAAGGTCTTTTATATCTATCGTTATTATTATATTTTTTTCTTTTTATGAGAAGCATTAGAAAACAGCGTCGACTAGTCCACTAACCAATTTAGAATGCTCAAACTTTTATTATATTTAAATTAACACCAAAGTAAAATTATAAATATTATAGTTGTTGAGTCGTTAACCATGTGAGAATTGTTTTTGGTTTTGAGATTGGAACAGCTAACCATACCATAAGTTTGGACCAATTTCCAAAGGGCTATCATGCATTTTTTAGGTAACTGAGCACTAACTTTCATAACTGTTTGCTATAAAGACGATTACTTGATGTTACATTGTCTTTATAACAAACAGTTATAGAAGTTAGTGCTCAATCACCTAAAAATGCAGGGCAAATCTTTGGAAGTTGGTCCGAACTTATGGTGTGGCTACGTGCTCCAATCTCAAAGCCAAAAGCAATTTTCACAGGATTAACGACTCAAACAGTTGTATCTATCTCTTGACCTGTTCTTTCACCCTTGTTCGATTAGTTTTTTTATATTTTTTTAGGCCTCTTGCAAAATTATAGCTTCGCCAAGTTTTTGTAGTAAACTCGTTCCTTTTGGTACATAAATTAACACTTTATCCCAAAAAAAAATCGACAAAAAATGATTAACACAAAAAAATTGATAGTTTAACTCTGTATTCGAACACCAATAACAGAAAAATGTCTAATCTAATATGTTCAAGTCTAATCTCTAATCCAAATAGATTACAGTAATATTTTTTAATTTGAATTCGATTTTTTTGGAACGCTTTTTCTTCATTTAGTTAGTCAAAATAGTATTACACTTTATACCTATTAGAAAATCAAATGATGAATTATTCGAATGTTACATTCATTCTAAAATATTAGTAGAATAGTAAAAACTTGGATTATCTAAAACATAAATATAGTTAAATTTATCATTGTTTAGTTAATTTGAAAAGAGAAAATTTGTAAAAATATTACAAAAATTTTGTGTTATTGAAAACTAACTCAATGTTCTCAAAATTTTGAAAACTAATTTTTTCTTTAGTAATTGAGATTATCAAAATATTCTAAACTCCAATATATAAAGTGCTTTTAAATCTAATTACTTCTACTATACGATAGTT